GGTCCTGAAAGGGCTCACCGGGCGTGTCGCTCAATAGTACTAGGGGGGAAATCATTTCCTGCTTAGCCGCGGTGTGACTAACGACGGAATAAAAAGGGAACAAACTCCCCTCCCCCACTTCCTGTCCTATGCGTGCCCCTCAAAAATACAAAATTCTTCAATTCAAATCCATCCCGCTCCCGCTCCCCGGAATTCGTTGAAAACTCACATTTGTAATGTATTTGCAGTGTTTTGAAGTTGTTTTCACACTCCATCTCTAGCAATGGTTGAACAATCAGGCCTACGAGCAGGCCTACGTTTGTGTTACCTGGCTCACCTCTATTTTGTTTTTTGCAGGTGCCTTCCTCATCCCGTACCTCATCATGATGGCCCTGGCCGGCAAGCCCATGTACTTCTTGGAGCTGGCCATGGGGCAGTTCGGCGGCGTGGGCCCGCTGGCCATGTGGAACTGCTGCCCCATCGCCAAGGGTGAGTAGTATAGCGCCACGTCGCGCGCCGAGTTGGAGGCGGAGGGCGCCCGGCAGGCAGGCCGCTCAGCGCGCTCAGCCGCTCGCCGGGTCGGCCTATCCTGCCGCTCACAGGCGCCCTCCGGCCGGCCGGGCGGGCTCCTCTGGACCAGGGCGTCGTAACGTAACGTATAGCATATAGAAACGCTTAAAAACTAAAATATTTTTTTAGCTTTCCAAGCGTTTTTAAAGCGTGTGTTCAGCTTTCTGTATGAAGTGCGCTTTAAGGAAAATGAAAACGCTTGAAAAACGCTAGAAAGGTTCAAAATCAATTTTCGTTTTCAAGCGTTTCTAAATGCGGTACGTTACGACGCCCTACTCTGGACAAAACTGACTGGGCTGCTTTGCAGGGGTCGGCTGCGCCATGGTGACGGTGTCCCTGGTGGTGTGCATCTACTACAACGTCATCATGTCGTACACGGTGTACTACATGGTGGCGTCCTTCGCCGCGGAGGTGCCGTGGGCCAAGTGCGACCCGGCCTGGGCGGACATGGCCACGTGCTACACGCGGACGTCCGGGGCCGAGAGCGTCAACGGGACCAACACCACCGCCATGCCGGCGTCCAACACGGGCAAGGAGACGGCCAGCCTGCAGTACTGGGAGTGAGTACCACGGGAGTGGCCGTCCATCTGAGCCGGCCAAAACAGGTCGTTACCGTTTAGCGGTGTGGAGGGGGGCTTGGAAACTGTTTTCAATCGCTGTTGGAGGGTGGCTGTGAGAGCCGAAAGCCCGTTGTGCGCCCGAGGAACGAGCCGTGATGGGGGCAGAGGTGTGTTCAGGGGATCGGCCTTCGGGCCTGCCGGCGTGCGCGGCCTTCGCCAAGCGCGTAATCTCTGGGAGATAGCGCGCTTGTGCAGGGGGTGGTTTGGCAAAGGGTAACGGGACGGTGCTAGGGGGGGAGGATGGGGTGGAGGAGATGGTAGAATGGGAAGGGAGCCCCCCCCCCCCCCATCCCGCACTACTGACATGTCCGGGCACTCTGCAGGCGCCACGTGCTGCACCTGTCGGACGGCATCGAGCACATGGGCCCGGTCAAGGGGGACCTGGCGGCCTGCCTGCTCTTCTCGTGGTGCATCGTGGTGCTGTGCCTCGTCAAGGGCATCAAGACCTCCGGCAAGGTGAGTGGGTGGGACAGCCACGAGTGAGTAGGGATTTGTAAAATCTTATTTTTTAAAGCCAAAAATTGAAAATTTTTCGAGAAAGCAATTGAAAAAATGAAGTATTCCTAGAAAAATTGGCAAAAAATTACACTTTTTAAGAGAAGAACTTAACACAATGTTGTAATTTTGAAAAATTTCTCAAAAATTACTCTTTTGGAAAATTAAAATTCCTACCCGGGCCCCGGTGTTGTTGACGTGCTCCTGCTGACGGCGGTCTCTGCTGACAGGTCGTGTACTTTGCGGCGACGTTCCCCTACGTGATCCTGTTCACGCTGCTGATCACGGGGCTGTGCCAGGAGGGCGCCTGGTCCGGCGTGGCCTACTTCCTCTTGCCGGACTGGAAGAAGCTGCTGGACATCCAGGTGTGGCAGGCGGCGGCCGGGCAGATGTTCTTCTCGCTGAGCGTGTCCATGGGCGGCCTCATCATGTACTCGAGCTACAACGACTTCCGGAACAACGTGTACCGGGACGCGCTGGTGGTGAGCGTCATGGACACGCTCACCTCCATCATCTCGGGCACCGTCACGTTCAGCATCCTGGGCGCCATGGCGCACGACCTCAACGTGCCCATCCAGGAGGTGGTCAAGGAGGGCCCCGGCCTGGCCTTCGTCGCGTACCCCGAGGCCCTGCTGCGCCTGCCTATGCCCCAGCTCTGGGCCGTGCTCTTCTTCCTCATGCTCTTCGTGCTGGGCCTGGACAGCGAGGTTCGTACAACAGAAAACAACAACTGACACTGCTGATTCGTCACACCCACTTCCGTAGCTTCCGCAGCGCAGGCGTGTGGCAGGGAAGGGCTGCATAGATCGAGGGCACCACTATCAGGGGCGTTTGGCAAACCCGGCCGCACGCCTGCGTGCTGTGTACAGTATACCCACGATCGTATCGCTGACGGGACGGGGTGACTCAGCCAGCTGATCTTTCTGTCCTCCACCCTCCTCCTCAACCCCGTCCTCTCTCCCTCTCGCTTCTCCTGGCTTCTCCTCCTCAGCCCCGTCCTTTTAGTGTGCACAACTTGCTCACGCCTCGCCCAGCCTCATTTGAGACGACCCTATGCAGCGTGCAGCGCATACCCTAGCGCTCGCTGCACCCGCCCGCCCCG